CTCCACCAATGAACGACGACGATCAGTTTTGCGATCAGCAATTCAGCATCAGCCTATCAGTTTTGTTCACTGGGATCAGGCTCTAGGTATTTTTTTCTTATTCATTTTTAATCCAAATTAATTATTTTTATTGTATTTCAGACTTCTACTAGTACTATGTACTAATATAGTTGTGTTTTTCTTCTAATTTAGATGTTAGAATTTTAGAATGTTACCTAATAAACATTTGTCGGGGGCTAAGAATAGAAAACAAAAAGACTAGAAGAAGCACCTAAAACTTATGTTAAGATTTTATACATGGTTTAGAGGGGTGGTCGCGATGAGTTCGCAAGAGGACCCTCAAAATGGTAGGACCGGCACTGCACGTTTGATCGACCATGGTAGTTCAAGCACGCTTGACGTTCAACCACCGACGTCAATAGGGTCCGGTCGCCTCGGTGATCTCCTTCCTCTACCTGGCCCCTCTTCATCCGAGCGGGTGCCCCAGATGGAGGTTTGCCCCTAACAAATCGTTGCGTGCGTACCCTAAGAGACATCGTGCTGCCGCCTTCATCTAGGTCACGCATGCCTCCGCATGGTCTCGTCGAACTGCATCTCTACCGGCGACTAACATCCTCCATCTTCCAGCGAACAAGCAAAGGTCGTCCCCAAGCTGTCACCGATATGCTGTTGGAGAAGCCTGTCCGCGCGACAACTGATCAAGCCGACGTTCTCCAGTTCGACCTTCTTCACGCGCATCATCAACATCAACCATCGCCATCGTTACTCTGCTGTCAACACCCAGCTTGATTAATACTCTGCATGCCATCGCAGGCGCAGGAAGTGGAGCTGCAAGTCGCCAGCGATTAGCGCACCTACGCAAGCCAGCGAGTGCCATGCATGCCCACAAAGCCAGAGTACGTCCTTTGTAGCTACACTGCGTTGTTTTTTTATATTTGATCAATTTCACTCCATCCATTCCACCTCATGCAAGTTCGATTCTTTTTATTTATATCAATTCAGCCGATGTCATCCTGAACTCTCCGTATTTACTGTCTAAATCCTATAGTTAGTAACTTAGTATGTATAGTTTTTAAATTAATATTCTTTTGGCATTTAGCTTTATATTGTTGCAAATGATTAGAAATTAATAATGATATTATTTCTAAGCAATTGTACTACAATATGAAGTTAAAGGGACAAAAAAATTGCATGGTTACATATTAATGTTACTTTTACATGAAAATTCTCTTTTTGCCTTGCAAACTTCACACCTTGCAACATCTGTCTTTTAAACCATTGATCTTGCAACATCTATGTCTTTTAAACCATTGATCGATTTCTTGCTCTGTCTCTCACACACGACTGAAGCAACAACTCTCCACGAGGCCCGGCGGCGGCGGTGTCAAGCTACAACTGCAAGCAAAAGATAGAGCTGAGATTGATGCGGACTTCCATCGCTTCATTGATGAATGCCGAACCAATAGCGGTCCTTGCTCGTTCCGAGGTTCGTCGTTCGGTTGACCTTTTGAGTCGTAAGATAGCCAGGCATGTATGACAGATATATTATTGTTGCACTGAGATGGGTGATCCAACGTGGTCTGCACAATAGGTTAAATGCGCCGGTCGCCGCCCAGATGACAGTGGCACTGCCAACTATGGATGAAAACGGTACAGATATTTTCCAACCGTATTCGAGACCGAATCCGTTTAGAGGGATTCAGGTCTGTCCGTATCCGAGTCCGGATATTCAACATCCGATACCGTATCCATATCCGAATATTCAAATCGTATATTTATAATGTAGACATCCAATCGTATCCTATCTGGCATGGCTGCCACTATCCGTATTCGAATCCGATCAAAAATATGAAAACAAATATAATATCAGTGATATCCGTTGATATCTGATCCGTTTTCTTCCCTACTACCAACCCCGGTGGTAGTAGCCAGCATTGTGGCTGCTGCCGCCACACGCTCTTCGTGGCGTGGATGTGTGGTGGCTCACGAGGCGGTGACCGGAGCTCTGACACCGGCTCCTCGTCAGAGGCTCCTCGTATCCTCCCACGTTGTGCGCGTGACTGGCCAGCAACAACTTGTGCGCACACATACATACATACTAGTACAAGGCGCGCGCCCGCGCGAAACGTTGGTAGAACGGCCAGACCAATATAAATACATATTATACGTGGCACCGTCAAGTTTTTTTAGCAGGCGTGGACCGTGGTAGGTAATGTAATACGTGTAATCGCTCTTTTTTGGTAACTGTAAAAAAAACTGAGTATCAAAAGCAATCACATGGTGTGGAGAAATGACAGTAGAAACAAAGGGCATGAAGGTATATAGATTGGGAGATCTACATATACATAGTGGTGGTCCTAGGAGAGTACTGAAATGTTTGAATACAAATACATTACACAGATATAATAGTGGTCCTTGGAAAGCATCGAAGTCTTTGAATAGTGGTGGTTCTAGGAAAGTTAGACAATGTTCCAGCGGCAAGGAAGTGGGGGAATGTGGTATATTACAGGTGGGTGGCATGTCATAGCATGATATAGCAGGTGGTCCTGAGGTTGTTTCCATGTGACTGCTAATGTAGTTTCCAGCTTCGGTGTAACAAACCATAGCTTGTAAATTTGTCGTTGTGGGCATGGTGATTGCCTGTTTAAATTTTTCGCATAAGGGTTATGGCTTGGTAAATCACAGTCCGAATGTTGTAGACGATAAGTAATGTTACGTGCTGATGTACCAATGAACAGGGAGGGAGGATACTGAAAGGGAAGAAGATCCGATGAGCTGCTGCCATCTGAGATCTGTGGGTAGTGGGCATGGGCACGTGAACGGTATGTTAATTGGGCAATGAAGTTCTTTGTTGGCTGCATAACAGGTAGAAGAACAATTATTGAATAGAATTGTACCTGATGGTAGTGCACATGCAGAAAATGGTTTTCATGGAAGCAGCACATGAAGAGAAAAAATTTGTCAGGTTAGAAGTGACGCTCTATTTCACCTGTTTCTCGTGCAGTGTCCCAAAATAAGACGAAGGACACATATAATAAGATGCTTAAATTTTCCAACCATACAAACTGAACTGTAACATGAAGCTAAGTGTTACATTGTGTGCCTAGGACAGAACAAAAGCAATATTGAGGCTGAACTCTGCAATTTGGAAAAAATGTTAACAGGAAGTGGGGAATGGAACTTACGAAGATAGTGCGCTGGAAGTAGACCAGCTGGGTAACCAGGACTGGCCTTGGAGCCTAGGCGAATCTATACAGAGGAAGGTAGCTCTGTTCATCAAGGTCATACCCTACATAGCAGAAGGAAAATGAGAAGTACAGTTATGAAGAGGAAAAGAAGAAAAATGTACGAATGCAGGGAAAACATCTACCATCAAGTTCTGCCTACTCCTGAGGAAAAGAACATGTTTCATGGCAGCCACAAATAGGAAACAAGCGAAGAAATAATAATAATTATTGTAAATGGAGCACAAATTAAAGAGCTGAAGAAATAGCATTTCCATATCTGGATAGAGCTGCATCTTTGAAATTTCTGTCCAGGATTAGCCTCATCAAGAGCAGACAAGAGTTATAATACTCTATGCGCAGGTGTAGCTAGGCGTCTGCTTTATTAATATTGATTGAAAGGCAACCGTTATGAATAGTCCAGGCGTAGCAATGCCAAAATGGCAATGGTGGAGGCTCGCCATGTGCATTAAGGAAGAAAAAGTCGTTTAAAAACAGACAAGAAGTCGACGCGGCTGAAGAGCTTTCAAGCAATACGTTTTCCTTAGGAGAGCATTCTAGTAAGGCAAGACTAGGGAAAAATAGTTAATAAGCAGTGGACAGTAGAAAATAAGGAGCCTGATTCCTGTGTGGTTTTCCAGAGACTCGGTAATAGAAAGCGCATGAAAACCACTAATCACAGAGTAAAAGAGCTGAACAGCAGTAGTAGCAGTAGAAGTAACCTGTTCATCATCGCTGAGATCATCAAATATTTTTTTTTCTGCGCAGGCCTCTTCTTACTGTGTACTGGTGACTTGCTCTGTCTGTGAGGCACGTAATATTAGATTGAGTGGAAACCGACGAAACACAGATAATTTCTAACGCTGCAAAACAACACGTATGTATGACTGAAGCATAAGTTAGTTACTCAGTCGAACCATGATGGATGGGAGCGTCATCAGTGTTAGGCAAATTTTAAATACTCCAGTAGTTCATATCGAAGAAAAAACTGTTGGGAACCTGTGATGAAATACAAATAATATACTGAGGCTATCTTCTTAATCCACTTTGTATAAAGAAACAATAGTGATACTAATTAACCGGAGATTGATGCCATTATTGTACATAGTTAATGTCTCGAGCGATGAGCTGAACCAACCAAATGAACAACTTTGTAAATAAAAACCTCAAAGCTTTCAAGAAAGCCAACATTAGAAGTAATTCCAAATTATTCACTCAATTTCAGGGATAAATTAGTAGATCACTGTAAGCAAAGTAGTTAGTCTCTCAAACTAATAGATCACTTCAAGCTTCACATTGGCACAATGGTTTTGTGTTGCACAAATAACAGAACAGCTCAATGGTTAGGGGTAGGGGCATCTCCTCTTCCTGTCATCACTATGTATAACTAAATTATCGTTGTCTTTTGTAAAACTATTAAAAACATATGACAACAATAAAAACTATATAAGCCTAGATCAGATTATGGTTGAGAATAATTAAGTGCATCCTGAAAAACAGCTGTCCATAAAAGAGAGAAACAATGAATCAAAATAGAAGGATGGTGCTGCATCTTTTTCGCAAAGAATTTTTTCTAACATCACTATGGGCATCTCCTCTTCCTGCCATCACTATGTATAACTAAATTATCGTTGTCTTTTGTAAAACTGTTGAGAACATATGGCAACAATAAAAACTATAAGCCTAGAACAGATTATGGTTGAGAATAATGAATCTGTGGCTCTAAAACCAGTGACCATTTGTAATCTATAAGGTTGCAAATAATTCTAACAAACCATGGTACTGTTGGCAAAGATCACTAGATCACAGGTAATTAGGAGGATAACTTGGCCTGTGGCCTTCTATTGAATTGCAAAATACAGACTGTTGAATTGTACAAGTGGTTCCCCCCCATGTGCTCTTATAGGCCAGGGGTTTATCCCAGGGAATATTCTAACTACCTAATGGTAGATGCTTTAGGAAACTTGGCTGCCAAGGTGTTTATCAACTTCACCACCAAGGCAAGCCCTACCAACCACATTAGGACTGAAATGTAAATGCTGGAAAACATGAACACTAGGCTAACTACTAACAGGTACATGCTAAAGTTGTCTGGTCGCCAAAAAAAAACAAGAAACCACAATAATGGAGCAGCAATTGAAATATGTACTGAATCTAATTGTATCACCACAAAAAAAAATCCACTGCACTGGCATATATATTTAATAATCGGTTTCATAAGATTAATAGCAGTCATGATTGCAAACACAGCACACAACGGATCAGTAGGGTTTCACCAAGGCTGCATAGTGGCTTATGTTGACACTATAGTCCGGGGATATCTGCCATAAAATTCCAATGCCGAGGGGGGAAGATATGGCAAAGGAGCCTTTTTTGTATCCTGGCTTATCCAAAACATTTAGATCACAATGGTAGATTGGGAAATGATGGTATTTATAGCAATCACCAATCGGACTTAAGAATGGGATAAAGCAGTGAATCGAAACCTGAGTGAGCCACATAGAATAAAGGATGAGAATATTATTACATAAATTTATTAGTCTGAAAAAAAACCATAGATGTTTCATGTGTATGTTAGTAACCACAATAAATGCTAAATCTCTTTCTCCCTTGCAACATTGCTAATTAACATCTGATATGCATGCATAGAAGATGAGGCCAAGAGGTAACTTATTAGGACCATTAGATCTTGTTTGTTAACTTGATTTGGAACAGAGAAGAACATATTGTTTGGAGGGAGAAAAGAGAATATTTTACCTATCAAAGTGAGAATAAAACTGAATGTTTGAAGAAAAAGAAATGGACATGCAACTACCACAAACATATTAGTGCATTTTCAAATTGAAGAATATATTCAGAGTAATATTATCATGCAACATTTTTAATCTCACACATAAGTGACCACTGTAGGAATCTTCATAAACCAACTGGAATGAAATTGCAACTCTAAGAGCTCAATGAGAAGCAAAAGTTGTCAAGTTGTCTAAATATAAAGTGTGTGCTAAAATAGAAAAATGGAATCACGGTAGAATTTTCTTTACTACATTTGGATAACCAGGGAAATACTGGAAAGAAATAAGAAAAACAAAGACGACACATGTACCATCATGGGTGGCCCTCGCTGGAAGCCATTGTTCTTAACCGCGCAGGAGGTGTTCCCTCTCGTCGTCGTTGTTGCCCGCTTCGCACATCTCCTTCATACCTACAGACATAGCCACCCAAAGAACATTAGATGGACTGAAAGTTAGAAAATTACATTTTTAGACCTTGCTTGCTTTGAATTTCTTGGTTAGTGCCAAATTAATTAAATTGATACAATCCTACTGCAGTGCTAGCTGTTACATGGTGTAGGCTCGCTTAATTAGGCCTGTGCTGGTACCTGGTGCACCGCAGGTCGCATTTCACTGTAACGTTAGCCCTTCATAGAGAAGACACTAAATGGAGCATTATGACCAAGTAACATGGAACTTACCAAAGATGAGTTTTTTTTTTTTGTATTTGTACAGATTGTCTTAGACCAACAGTCAACAGACTAGCAGGCTAAAGGCTCTGTCGATATTCCTTGAAATCATGGATACAGCAAGTAAGAAACTTAATATACCTAGGAATATAAGAAAGAAAAAATATGGACCGCAATGTGATACAAACAGCACATCCTGTTCACACCATCTCTATGTGCAACTGCATTGCCATTGACTATTGTAAGGCTCTGGAAAAACTAAGAGCAGCAAAAACTAAAAACATAGATGAAATTACTCTTCAGAAGAATTATTACATAATAAATCAGCAAATGGCTCACCTCCATGGCCATAACCCATTTTGATCAATTGGTTCCGTTCCGTACATGCCATAGTCAGCCCTCTGCAAACAGATTTCGAACTGCTGAATTAATTTAGGAAAAGAGAAAAGAAAACACAATACAACTGGAGAGAAGAGAACACAGCAGGGCATTGGCACTCGGCCTGACCAGTACCTGTGCCGCCGCGGTTGGCTTGAAGCATGCCTCCCAGGGATCAACACGGAGAAGGCAAACAGTGGAGTAGCAAGCACTGGAGCGCAAACCCTAGAACAGAAAATCCAACTTAATGTGGGGAGAAATCAGAGGGCAAAAACAAAATAAGAGGAAACAGGAGTACCTGAAAGAAGGTGCGGAGGCCGGTGATTACAGTCGTCCACCGCAGGGATCTGAGAGAAGAAAAGATGAAGATGGAATAGCAAATCTAGATAGAGATCAAGATGGAGGAGGGACGAACCTGAGTGTCAGTACGGCGGCGAACCCTATGGTTGTCGGAGATGGCGCCACATCGGGAGAGAGATACGGGCTGGGGGAGGGATAGCGGCTGTCGGTCAGCGCCAGGAACCACCACCGGCACGCCACCTCGCCGGCGCGCAGGTGCGCCGCCACCGCGGGGTCCTGGCCGGTGACGCGCCTCATCGGGAGAGGGAGAGAGAGAGGCAGCGCCAGCACACCGCCTACGGCCTGGTCTGCATCGTGGCCACCCCGCCGGCAGAGAGGGAGAGAGAGAGGAAGGGGACGGGCAAGATAGAGGAGGGAGAGACGGCGCTCGTAGGTCGTGGGGCTCGGGGTCGGGAGAAGACGATAAGGCTCTGGAGGATGTGGAGCGTGAGGGAGAGAAGATATTTCGGTGGAGGGAGCCTGAACCGTTGATCTCCGAATCGGACGGCTGAGGCATTTAGAGGTGACGTGGATAGCTTGAGAGGCGACGAACTTGTTCAACTTTGTAGAGGTTATAATTATAACTAGAAATTTTTTAGCGCTTCGCAGCGCCCTACCGGACAGATTGTTAAAACACTGGTCTAGAGAAGGATCAGGGGAGAAAACTCTCAAAGAATATAGTTCAATTCATCCCAAATAGTAGCAAGTTGCATCCATCAAGTAATATCGATTAGTGAACAATAGTGTGACGCTGTGCAACACGATACACAATGATGCTACTGAAGAATAAATTCAATTGTGATACCTTACCAGTTGATGTCATAGTTACAAATGGAATAGAACTTAATTAATAATTACAAAATTTAACTACCACCAACCTCCACCAGATCCTGATATGGAAGCAGGAATATTTTTTGGGTAACATAATACATCACTAACCACAACCTGAGGAAGAATGCATAGTCTGGCTACATGCATTGTGTCGATCTGGCTATCATTAACAGGGGTGAAGACCGAAGAAACAATAGGAGATGGAACCTTCTGAACGTCATATAAGCAATTGAGATTGTTCTTCACAGTGCCGTTATTTGTTAGCTACAAAGCACATGATATGAGGTGATTAGAAAGGTCACCATAAATGTAGAACGTAGAACATAAATTTAGCTACGGCATTTGTGGTTATTGGGAGCCATCAGTTTATAAATTTCTGGTTTCATATCTTAAACATTTTTGTTCATGTGAAACATAAATTATCTATAAAACCCCAAAGTTCTGGCTACATAGTAAAGCACCAGCAAATCATGCTTCTGCTATTTATGCTACGAGTAGATTGAAGAACAAAAATGCACAGGAGACTTCTCGACAAACTTTGACTTCAACAACATCAATTTCTAAAACCCTGGGTGCCCAACAAGGCACAGTGGAGCATTTTCTAGATTGTATATTCAAAGTACTATAGACTAATTTGATAGGACTTGATGCCCTACCGGAGTTGCTGCGTAGGTTATAGGGGTGGAAGAGGGGAGGACGTGGTCTGTACTCTTGACGTCGGCGAGGGGCCGTGGCGGCGAGAGTGCGGCGGCTGCTGCAGCAGCCCTAGAACTCACGTGGTGCTACAGTAACGATGGTACTGTTTGCGCGAGGGAGAGAGGGCAGGGACGGCTGGCTCCCAAGGGAAGCCAGCAACTTAATTGTTGCTTTCTGCTTAATTCCAATCATCCCCGATTACAAGTATTGATCCTTCCCTATAGATGCTATAATTAAGGAACTATATCTATCTCTAAGAAAATACCAAATAAGCGATAAATTGGGCCTCTAAGCCCCTTAACAGACCAGCCCCCTAGCCACTATGGGGCCTGCGCCTGGCATAGGGGATGCCGGTCATAACATCTCTCCCCGCTTGCGCAAACAGCTCGTCCTCGAGCTGGAAGTCGGGGTAGACATCGCGAAGATGCTGGAGAGGCTCCCATGTTGCGTCCTCCGCTGGCAGGCCGCGCCATTTGACAAGCACGTGCCACACGTCTCGCCGCAGTTGTGCACGAAGGGCGCGCTCCGGAGCTGGCAACAGCCGGCCATCCGATGTCGGCGGCAGAGGAGCAGGAGCCGCTGGGGGATCACCTTTGTGGGGCTTCAACAGCCCCACATGGAAGACATCATGCAGACGGGCGCCCTCCGGAAGCTGTAGGCGGTACGCCACCTGGCCGATGCGCTCCAGCACTTGGAACGGACCGGCGTAGCGAGGGCCAAGCTTCCCTTTGGCGCGGGGCTCGAGGGACTGGGCAGCGCGGTGGAGCAGGCGCAACCATACCCAATCCCCGACGGCAAACTCCCGGTCGCGGTGGTACGCGTCGTAGTATTTCTTGGACAGCTGCTGTGCTTGGAGAAGCCTTTCCCGAATCTCCGCGAGCACCTCGTCGTGCTCCCAAAGAAGGCCGTCCACCGTGTCCGTTCTGGCCGACCCGGCCGTGTAGGACAAGATGGCCGGGGGTGGGCGGCTGTAGACCACCTCAAAAGGTGTGGCGCGCAGTGCCGTGTGGAAGGAGGTATTGTAGCAGTACTCCGCCCAGGGCAGCCAGTCCACCCATGCTCGCGGCCGGTCACCTATGACATACCGAAGATACATTGCGATGACCTTATTGACCACCTCAGACTGACCGTCTGTCTGCGGGTGGAAGGCCGTGCTCATGCGGAGCGAGACGCCAGCCATCTTGAAGAGGTCACGCCACACATGACCAATGAAAACCGGATCCCTGTCGCTGACGATAGAAGGGAACCCGTGCAAACGAACAATGCCGTTGAAGAATGCACGTGCAACCGAAGCGGCGGAGTATGGATGACCGAGGGCGATGAAGTGCGTGTACTTGGAGAATCTGTCGACCACCGTGAGAATGACGAATTTACCGCCGACCTTGGGCAGGCCCTCGATAAAATCCATCGAGATGTCCGCCCACACCTGAGACGGGACGTCGAGGGGCTGCAGGGACTCCGTCTTGTTCCGATGACACACGGTGCACACCCGCACGAAGTCTTTGACAAGAGTGCGGTCGTCGGGGATGTAGAAGTCCGAGCGCAGGCGATGGAGCGTCTTCTGGACTCCCTCGTGGCCCGCCGAGTGAGCCAAGAGGAGCAACTGATGGCGCAGGTCATCATAAACTGGCACGAATATGTGAGCACTGTGGAGCAGGAGATCGTCGTCGCCGCGCCAAGGTGCAGCCAGCGCGCCTTCCTGGAGGCGCTGAAGGAGAAGCTGAGCGTCCCCGGCTGCTGCTGTAGCCACGCGGATGTCGTCGAGGAGGGCGAATGTCGGCGTGGACAGCAAGTGTACAGCCACCCCTGAAGCAGCACCGTCCTCGACGTCGCGGCGGGACAGAGCATCCGCCACGGTGTTAAGCCGTCCAGGGCGATATTCCACGGCGAAGTCAAACCCGAACAGCTTATTGATCCATTGGTGCTGCGGCACGGTGGAGAGGCGTTGGTCCAGCAAGAACTTGAGACAGTAATGATCCGTGCGGACCAAAAAGTGACGCCCCCACAGGTATGGCCGCCAGTGGCGGACGGCCTGGACGAGCCCGATTAGCTCACGTTCATAAGCCACGAGCTTGAGATGACGTGCAGCGAACGGCCGGCTGAAGAAGGCGAGCGGTCCGTTGTCCTGGTGGAGAACCGCGCCGAACCCGACGCCGGACGCATCACAGTCCACGGTGAACTGCTTTGCGAAGTCGGGCATCTGGAGTACAAGGCCTGTAGATAGAGCCCGCTTAAGCGCCTGGAATGCCGTGTCCGCCTCATCGGACCAAGCAAACGCATCCTTGCATAGGAGAGTCAGCGGGGCTGCGATGACGCCGAAGTCGCGGATGTACTTCCGATAGTAGCCAGCGAGGCCCAGGAAGCCCCGCAGGCCACGGGCGGACCGTGGGGTCGGCCACGACGCCACAGTGGCCACCTTGTCAGCGTCCATGGCGACAACGCCCGCTGAAATCACATGGCCGAGGTACGCCACCGAGGAGGCCCCAAATGAGTATTTGGAGCGCTTGAGGTGGAGCCTGTGCGCCCGTAACGCGTCAAGGACGATGCTGATGTGCTGCAAGTGCTCTGCCCACGAAGAGCTAAAAATGAGGATGTCGTCGAAGAACACCAGCACGAACCTGCGGAGGAAGGGGCGAAGCACGTCGTTCATCAGGGCCTGGAACATTGCCGGAGCGTTGGAGAGGCCGAATGGCATCACCAGAAACTCGAAGTGCCCGTGGTGTGTGCGGAATGTTGTTTTGGCGACGTCGTCAGGATGCATCCGCACCTGATGGTAGACCGAGCGCAAGTCGAGCTTGGTGAAAAACCTGGCGCCATGCAGTTCGTCGAGGAGCTCATCCACCACCAGGATCGGAAACTTGTCTTTAGATGTCTTGGCATTGAGAGCGTGGTAGTCGATGCAGAAACGATAGGAGTCATCCACCTTGCGCACTAACAAAGACAGGGCGAGAACGGGACGCGTTTCGATGCGATGATGCTCGGGCAAGCATGGTCTGCTGACATCGCCGCTCCAGCTTCGTCCTTCAGTAGCTAGGGGTAGCGGTAGGGACGAACCGCGACCGTCTGCTGTCTTGCCCGGAAGCGGTGGATGCGGTGATCATATGGCGCGCGGTGGCAGCCCCGCGCGGTTCGTCAAGACCGCCCGAATCGGTGGAGGAGGCGGTCCAATAGGGTCAGTGATGGGGCGGCCGTGACCGCCTCGTGGATGGCTCCGAATGTCGTCGCGGGAGAGCCAATGCCCTTCCACGTAATATGCTTGCCGCCCGCCGCGGTGAATGCCATGCACGATCCTCGAAGTCCCGAGAATAGGACCCAAAGGTGCGGAGGTATTCACGCCGAGGATCGATCGAACCCCCGAGATTGATGCCGGCGGTGATGGTAAACTCCTCCCCACCAATGGCGAGAGTGACGCCACGGCGACCCCTTCACAGGCACACGGTCCCCGTTAGCCACCAAAGACCCGCATGGAAGGATGGGGCGCGGTGGAGAGGCGCGAAGCGCGGCGATGAGGTCGGCGTTGATGAAGTTGTCGCGCCGAGCCCGAGTCGAGGAGCACCACGAGACGATGGCCATGAACATGGACCGGAGGAGCATGGCATTCTCGGTCCGGATGCCGCCGATGGCATACAGGAGACGGTGGTCGGGCTATGGGCTCTCGGACGGCGGCAGAATAGCTTCCTTGGGTGCGGCATCCTCTTGAAGGTCGCTACCATAGCCCACCTCCACGGGAT